TTTCTACATTTAACTATAGGCCTACATATTACACACAGTGTACACTATAGAAAGAAAGAAACTAGATTCCGCATATTATCACCTCAACTTAACAACCGCTAGGTAACGTTAGTGTCATGTCTTATTTTGCAAAAAAACCCGCATAATACTTATCTTAAGACGAATACATATTAAAAATATACGTACCTGAGGATAAAACCGGGCTAGTGTAAGGCCCGTGTACTCTTTACGGCAACACCGTTAGCACCAGCTCAGCACTGTTGTCCTTGATCCAGAGGCTTCATCCAGGCTACGGCCAACAACCAACCAGCCACGTTTTCAAATTTGGAGCCCACGGTGGACTGTGTCACGTGCTTCCGACTGCACTGCGTGGTTACCATGGAAACACATCCTGGGTTTGTTTGGCCCATTAATGTGTCCATGGTCTGGACGAACAACACTAGGTAAAGTTAACTGTTATCTCTTTTAACTTTACTAACATTTCTTTCGCTTTTAGTAGAACGTTGACAGTACAATTATCACGAAAAAGACATTGCTGTTTTCTAAACGAAGATGATGTATTCTATTCTAATATGGTTTATAACTAGCTAACCATCGTTTCGTCACGTTATGCAGATTTAACCCTATCTTAATTAAGAAAAACGGGGGGTTAGTTTGCTTACCTGGCCCGTGTACTTTTTAACCGTTCATTAGCTAGATGTCAATAACTCATACTCCCCCCACATCACCATTGACACCGCTTTATCAGCAAAACACAGAAACATTTAAGGCTTAGATTAATAAAAAAACACAACTAAAATGTAAATGGATGTTTTTCTCGACGCACAGCTCGGATCAAAATCGTGATTGTTTCATCTCGACGCACAGCTCGGATCAAAATCGGTTTTAAAATCGCTTAAGCAGCAACAAGAGCACGACCTGGTTTTCCTCGATATGATTTACGGCTAGGAACGCTGAATATACTTAGAATATACAAAAGGTGATGAAAAGCTATTTGGTGTTTATGGTTAGCTACTGGTCAACATAAGAGTTTGTCGTCTTATTTAATGGCAAGTCGACCAGTACAGCCTATAACAGACGGGGCACAGAGCTAACAACGTTATGTCCCACTACACCGCTGAAAAATCATATAAGGACAATTCTAGTAGTGAAATCAAAAGGGTAAAGCCCAGACACAACTTTCTCTTGCTAGCAAAGGTTATATCATTCTGAGCTGCCATGTCTGATATTAATATTGTTTGACAGAGTAACTGAGTGAACTGAAATTCTTCCCAGGCATGAGTACAAATGCAGTTTTCTCCCTTCAAAACCAGTCCACTGCTGTTGCCTCTGGGGGCAAGATCCCCGTGGAGCACCTGGACTATGATTACATTGAAACATGCAAAGATGTGAAGTACCTGGAGAGGATCTTGAAAGTACTGAGGTAAGCTATATGAGTGAGGTTGAGGTGTGAGGTGTGTATCATCGGTGCATTCAATCATTTCATTAAATCTGGGGAAAATGGAGAATGGGCCAGGATTTTGTTGTTGGTATGGGCATTAAAAAGAAAATTGGTCATGTGTCTTTCTGTTTTCATCTAAAAGTTGAAAATATAAATAAAGAGTCAATAACTGAATGAGTGGATAATACACAGACCATGGGCCTTCACTGACCCTGTAAAGAGGCGGCATTGATTTTGTATCCTCACATATTCTCAAAGATGTATTGTTGGTGAGCTTTCCTCATTTAAGATAGTTCCCTCATTGTCCCCTGAAGTTTTTTTAATTGATTCATCTACCATCTATCGATGGTACATTATATACCATCTGTAACCAATTGTAAAAAGATAATGGAACATAACTTGGTACAGTTTTGAAAATATTGCTAGGAATTTGGGCTTCAAGTAAACATTGTTTTACTTTATGTGAAGGTCTGGTGAGGAGGGCATTTATCCTCCTCTGATCAAGTTCTGTGAGACCCACTTAGAGAAACTAGACCCTAGGAGTCGAGCCCTCCGCAAGGAAAACTATGCAGCCACAGCAGCCAAAGATGAGTGGAGTCAAATTATTGATGAGTTGAAGGTGTGTTGTTGTTCATTGTTATATATGTTTTATAAACCCTGCTTACTTCCTGTTCTCATTTTAGTCATAAACATTTAATATTTAATCATTTGTTCTTTACAGATGTGGCAAAGAGAAACCAAAAATATTGAAATTTCACTAAGACAGCAGTCACTGTTTGATGATCTAGTGAATAGAAACATGCCTCCTATAAGAGGTTCCAATTGTTCTGTTCCACTTAACCAGGTAAAGGTTGACTCTGATGATACACATAACTATTCACATGTACAGTGGTGTGAAAAAGTATTTGCCCCCTTACTGATTTCTTATCTTTTTGCATGTTTGTCACACTGTAATGTTTCAGATCATCAAACAAATTTAAATATTAGTCAAAGATAACACAAGTAAACACATCATGCAGTTTTTAAATGAAGGTTTTTATTATTAAGGGAAAACAAAATCCAAAACTACAAAACCCTGTGTGAATAAGTGTTTGCCCCCTAAACCTAATAACTGGTTGGGCCACCCTTAGCAGCAACAACTGCAATCAAGCGTTTTCGATAACTTGCCATGAGTCTGCCACAGCGCTGTGGAGGAATTTTGGCCCACTCATCTTGGCAGAATTGTTGTAAGTCAGCCACATTGGAAGGTTTTCGGGCATGAACTGCCTTTTTAAGGTCATGCCACAGCATCTCAATTGGATTCAGGTCAGGACTTTGACTAGGCCACTCCAAAGTCTTCATGTTGTTTTTCTTCAGCCATTCAGAAGTGGACTTGCTGGTGTGCTTTGGATCATTGTCCTGCTGCAGAACCCAAGTTCGCTTCAGCTTGAGGTCACAAACGGATGGCCGGACATTCTCCTTCAGGATATTTTTAAGTTCTATGTCATCACAGACTTCACATTCAAAGGGAAAAGGGAGTTCTTCAAAATGCACTCTCCCACGTGATTATCGAGAATGGGACAAGTGAGTCATGTCTCCACACTGTCTGCTATATTCAGAAGAAAGAACACACTGTTGGAGTAGCTACAGGCACTTTGTAGAAAGGCCTTATTTGGTCCCTAGTTAAAATGTCGGTGCTGTTGTAGAGAACTCTTTTGTGGAATCATGTCTTACCCAAAATGTATATTTCACTCTATTTTCAGGTTTGATGTGGAAAAAGAATCGGAAAGAATTGATGGGAATGTGGTCAACAACTCTCCACCAGCCACTATAAACACGGGACATCCTAAAATCCAGATAAAAGTGGATGCCTCATGTAATGCATTATGTATAGCATTTCATATTTATTTTATTTAATTAATTATGTTGTAGTCATTGCAAAGCGTTGTGTAGCGTGGGTCTGAGTGTGTGAAATCTGTGGGCTCCCACATCCAGTGCTGACGCAACAGGAGAAGTTCCTCCTGGCAAATCATGAAAAGGACAAAGGCAACGAAGCTTTCAGGGCAAATGATTATGAGGAGGCAGTTGCATACTACTCCAGGTCAGACTCTTAAAACAACTCATTTACTATAGAAATCATTTTACATCTCTTAAGGGGATATATCATTTTGGCTGAAATTGAATTAGAACACTGTCTTTCAGTCTGATTTCATTCTCATTTAATTTACATCTAAGTGTGTGTCCATTAACTTCACTGTAAAGAAAGGTCTGTTTTATTTTTGTCCATACATTATAGAAGCCTTTCCATTATACCAACTGTGGCTGCATACAACAACAGAGCCCAGGCGGAGCTCAATCTGAAGCACTGGCACAATGCCATGAGAGACTGCCAGAGTGTACTCAAGCTGGAACCAGGCAATATGAAAGGTGCTGTTTTCTTTTTTAGAACCTTAACTATAATACTACAGTGCTTTCAAACAGAAATATGACTGTAATCTTGTAGTTTTCAAAAATGTTTTACCTGCCATATTTATAACTCTAAACATTTGTGTATGTAAAGTCTATGTGTAATGTATGCCTTATCGTCAGCTCTGCTTCGTCGTGCTACTGTGCACAAGCACATGGGCAACGTCCAGCTGGCTGCTGAGGACCTGAGGACGGTGCTTATGAAAGAGCCACAGAATGCTGCAGCTACAGTAGGTGACAAGATCTGAGGCGTGTTGATTACGTGCAAGTATCCTTTTTCACCACTAGGTGTCACTGCATTTGTGTGAGATCACAGCATTAAAAACTGCAGCTGCTGCAAGATATTATTCAAATCATATGTAGTTTGTCATTACTGTAAATAGCCAATGGTGTAACCTTTCACTCCTGTGTTAGAGGAGGTCAGAAGCTCAGCAAGTGTTTTATTTAGTCATCACCTATGAGGACTTTGTTTATATGTTCTTTAATCATGTATTAGGAATTTTAATGTAGGTAAATGGGATGGATGACACACATGCTTTTTACTGTACTGTAGCTCAGTATTATATGAATGATTGTGGTATCAGGAAACGACACTGTCAACTCTGCTGACTTGCTTAAAATAATAGACTGTGTTGTTACTGTTGACAGATTCTAATATGTGTGTATTATTTGTGGTTTAGCAACTTCTGTCTGAAGTAGAGAAGAAGCTGAAGGAATGTCAACTACAGCGTCAAAGCAAAGGCAGAAAAATCTTCATCCAAGAAGTAGAAGAGGAAGATGACAAAAGTGACAATGAGACAAAGGCAGAACAAACTGGTGAGATTGTTGGAGCGCCTCCATAATCATGATCTATATCTTTGATTTACACACATACCGGCATTATAAACAAGGCAGTGACCATTCATAATTGCATGCATGAGTCCATCCAGAAATCCCTTTAGAGTACTGTTCCCTGTCTGATATAAAGCAACATGGTTTAATTTGTTTAATTTGACTTTTTGTTTCAGGGTTTGTCAGCCACTAGCTGTTGAAAAAATCCACATTTTTGCAGCTGTGAAACTTTGTTGTATCAAGGCAGTTGAGCATTAATTCCTTATAAGCTTGTTATTACTACTTGTTTCAAATTTAAAATGAACAACCAAAGAAGAACCTAATAAAACAACTGAGTAGCTTTGTGATATGTAAAAATGAGCTAGGTTTTACAGTAGTGTAAAAAAGGACTGATATATTGGGTTGTTTGATACTGTTGGTAGATTTTATCTTAACCTGTAGGAATATTATTCTACAAAGTGAGTCAACAAATGACATATAAAAAACAAATGATATGTTAAAGGTAGAAAGTGCTGTCATCATTGCACGAACTGCTCTGACAGGAGAATGTCCCACTCAGAGTATGTCTTATTACATGCACATAATGCAGACTATAAATAGTCAGTTATATGTGAAGTAATCTGTGTTTTACACTACACTGTAGTGTTTGTGCTTGCTTTAGTTCCCACTGTAGCTGCCTTGCACAGGATCCACCCTCTTATCTAATGGTGGGGCAGCCTTGTCTCTGTGGATATTGTGACATACTGTGGGTGCGTATGTTATTCGCCCTACCCCCACCCTTCACTTTCGTAATTCATTGTTGTGAGTGGCTGCTTCCTGGAGCTCCCTCTTTAAAATAGCTCTACGTCGTGTGTGTCCAGCACTCCCCCCGTGTGATGTAACTGCTGACTTCTTCCGGTGGGTGTGCCCCCTGCCTTTGCTTCTTCCTCTCTAACTTCCTCCCTCCCTCCCTCTCTCTTCCAGTCTGCCCGGTTGACCCCAGCCAGCAAGTGAGAGGGGAGGAGAGCTCAGCTGCTCCTGTGGAAAGGGGAGACATGGGTAACGCTCAAAAAAAGCCCCACGGCAGAGGGGACGGGCGTCCTCATAGTGAGTCCAGTAACTCTCACCAAAGGAGCAAAGGAGGCAGCGCAGAGAAGTACAAAGGCACACAGGAGTCTAATGAAAAGTTAGCCAATGGGACAAGCAAGAGTGACTCGACAACTTCAGCCCAGGCTGATCAGAGCAGCAGCGGTAAGGGAACTCTGGTTGGAGGAGTTGCAGGGGAAGCTGTCAACCTTGATGCCCCGTGTGGAGCTCTGCCCCCTCCGCTAGCCCGGTTAAAAAATGAAGGAAACCAGCTGTTTAAAAATGGACAGTTTGCCAATGCCCTGGAGAAATACTCACACGCCATTCAAGGCTATACAGACTCAGGTAGGGTTGACAGGTCGTCATTCTTGATACTGTTCTTGTTTTTATGGTCCGAGGTGGCATGTGACTCAGCTAGATCACATGTAGGAAGTTGGTTGATATGGTTTGACTGATTTGGTATATATGACACTAGAGAAAGGTTCACTGTCTGTCTTCATGTCACTAAGCATTTCTAGTGACATCAGTATATTTTAAGCATGTTACAAACAAATGGTGTATAGTATAACTAATGTTTCATCACAGTCTCACCCTTATTTGAATAAATATCGCTTTATGACTTCTAATCATCAATGCTCTTGAGACTGTTTCCTGCAACTGGCCAATACAAATTTAAATTAGAGGTCATGGCTTTGTTGCTATAATGTTAGTACTTACATTTTTTTCTTGCTTTATGATACTGCAGGATATTACAGTAGAAAAATATTATATATTAAACCTGAACAACACGTGATATCTTCCATCAGCAGTCCTCATTAGTGTACATACAAAGATTTCACCAAGAGTTATACAAATAATTCAAATGTTTGTTGGTGTCCCTACAGTGAGGCATCAGATACTGGCTGTTGTGGTTTATGTGGACAGTGTTTCTGTTTTAGCCTCAGCCTGGAGCTAAGCCCCTCAGCTTAGGTCTGTCCAGGTCACATGACCTCTAACCACTCACTGTAAAATTCAGTCTTGAGGACTGAAGCTATAATTCTAACTGAGATGCAGAGGGTGAGTGATTGATGTGGGGAGAGAAGCTGCAGCTTGTCAGGCTCATCACTGTGCCAGTGGATGTCAGAGTGATGGGGCCTCAACAATCATCCGAGGTCCACCATCTGACTGATGTAGTGAAGGCTACATGTAATGCAGACTACAGCTCAGGACAGAGATGAAAATACACTGGTAACCTTAGTAACCCACTAAGTGCAGCATGTCAGCAGTCTGTAAAAAGGCTTATTTCAAAGAACAATATTAAGTAAACTTTAGTTCAAGAACTCATAGTGCTATTCTTGTATAATGACGTTTAAAGGATGTATTACAGGAGCTAGAGGTGCTGCTGTCTGTTTTAAGGCCCACAAAGAGTTAAAAGGAGCTTTGGTTTAATCTGTGGAATTCAGGCTCCTACCTCAGGCTACAGGTTCAGTTGAAACATGCAGGTTACTCAGACCAGGAGCTTGGTGAGCACATGCATACACAGAATAGCTCCTTCATAAACATACAGTATGTGTGAATGCACCCTTAAAATAATAGTGCATTTATTGTCTAACGTGCAAGAAGAAGTTTTAGTTTTAGCTTAGTATTGTGATGACTATGCCAGCCAGCGGGAGGGTTTCACTACAGTATTAAGTGGTTTTGAAAGTCACACTTTGCTGAAGCAAACCAAAAAATTCTTTATTTCATCATTACAGGAACCCATTATTGCAACACACACATACCCAGCACCAGAGGTGGACCATGATGAGATATTGTCAGCATAGGTTACACAAACCCTTCTATGGAAATCCTTGTCCTTAACAAGCTCCCATGTTTCTGTATTCCCTCAGTGTCAGATCAGAGCACATTCAACTGTTGTAACTCAGCTAGTAACCTCTGAACATTACAAATGATTAAAGCCCATGTGAATTGATGCCACTTTCACAGATAGTTTCAGGGGGACTTAGAATCTATGAACTAAGTTTATGGATTTTTGTATTTATATTTGTGATATTTGTTTCTTTCTGTACAGGCATTGACAGTCCAGAGGATCTCTGTATTCTCTATTCCAACAGAGCCGCTTGCTACCTGAAAGATGGCAACTGTCAAGAGTGCATCCAGGACTGTACGAGGTGACACCATTTATTTAGAGTACCTACCTGTTAGGGATGCATTCAGCAAGATGACTAAGAAGTCATGTTTGCTGTGGGTGTTAACGCATATGTCACAATTTACACTGGTTGTAACCTTGAAACTCTAGCAGATCACCATCATTATAGGAGGAGGTCTGCTCTGTGGTGTGCTGTAAGATGTTTCAGTTAGGATAACTCAGGAAAGTATGTTTGTTTTAGATTTAACTAGGACAGGTGTGAAAACGTGGTTGTGTAATACTTTATTTACATATATACAACAGTGCAATTGAACACCAGCACCTAAGCTGTAAAATAAGCTGCAAAACACAAACAGATCCACTCAAAATCTGTCACATATAGTGATTCTACATACAGTGACCGACTGTCACTATGTGTAGACAGTACCTTTGGACAGTAGCATCTATAGCATGCAGCTCCTGTCTCACCCCATCTATTTATACCAACTAGTGCTCTGGAGCTGCAGCCATTCTCCCTCAAACCCCTCCTGCGCCGGGCCATGGCTTACGAGTCCCTGGAGCGCTACCGAACAGCCTACGTGGATTACAAGACTGTCCTGCAGATAGACATCAGTGTGCGGGCAGCACACGACAGCATCAACAGGTATTAGCCTTCACCTCTGAACCGTACTGAGAAGCTGCAAAGGGCAGAGAGATGTGGGCACTGCAACACAGGCATGACTGTTACATTAATATTCACATTTTGGAGTGGTTTAATTGGCAACACAAGGTCAACGTTTGGATGAAATGCTCATGTCAGATGCTCCAGCGTGATTACCCTTGTCCTGGAGAAAAGATCTATGATGAAAGTGTCCCTGTTATCCATTTAATTCTGGAGGACACAGAATATTACTAAGTGGATTGGATAAGGAAATAGAGCTAGAAATAAAATTATATTTTAATGTTCTTTTCTGTGCAATATTGTTTCCACTTCGAATCTTTCCATTCTAAATTAAGATCAATCAAATGAGCAAACACGCTGTGACGGAGTGCTTCCGTCACGGATGGCTGACTAAGTATATAGGCTACATAGACATACATGCACACCTACAAATGAACATCTAGTAGCTTTGTCAGCTTTACATGCACATATGTGCATGTTAAGCAAATCGCAACCGAAATAACCTTGGAAATCAACTGGACTTGGATTTCTAGATCGAAGACAGAACTGATGAAGCCTCTTGGATGAGAGGTGAAACGTCTTCGATCTAGATATCCAAGTCCAGTTGATTTCCAAGGTTATTTCGGTTGCGGTTTACTATGACCTGGATGACTGAGAATCTGCACAGATATGTTAAGCAAATCTACAATGTAGATTGTTGTATTATCACTTACTGGGTTTTCGTGTTGTTTGGGTGTTTGTCATCATCAAACATTGCTGCCATTACTGAGGCTGTTAAATATGGTTATGTGTGTGCAATGTGAGTAAACGTCACTGTGACTTAGCCTTGGGTGACCCAGGTGACCCAGGTTCTAGCTTTGAGTAGTTGTTTCTGAGCTGCATACCAGTTCTGCTGACAACCGCAGTGCTGCTTGTTTGTGTTTTTTTGTTGAAGATTTGAAACTCTTTGTAAATATCTAAATTTCTCTATTTTTCTACAGTGCACTTTGGGAGACGAGTACAATAGATTATTGGTTTGCTCTGCATTTGCAATTACGCCATCCTTTATTTTTTCCTTCAAGAAGATCCCTGTCACACACGCACACAGTCTAATCAGGGGTGGCCAATTCCAGTCCTTAGATGAAAGTGGAGTGAGGAAAGATAAAGTGAATTGGTATCTTCCAGCTTCTGACTGACTGAACACAACCTGAGCCAGGTAATCAGCAGCAGGTCAGGCAGGGATAGTTGGAAAACAAGCAGGACAGTGGCCCTCAAGGACTGGAATTGGCCACCCCTGGATTAGTGGCTTAGCCAGTGTTCAGAAGCAGTTCCAGCTAGAGGCTAATTATGGCTCTCAGACTGTCCTCTCACCGTTAGGCGACACAGGAGCTCAGCTGGCTGCTTTAGGGTCATAGCTTTAATAGCTCTCGATGTATTATATCTACAAAACTGCACAATGTTGGTGGGAATTCCATATACAGTGGAGCAAATAAGTATTTGATACACTGCGCTGCAGGATTTTTAGCCATGACGGTGTAGTGTGTTACTAATGCTAACCATTGAGACTGGGGTTCCCAGAACTCTTCAGGTCATTGACCAGGTCCTCCCGTGTAGTTCTAGGCTGATCCCTCACCTTTCTCAGGATCATTGATACTGAAATAAATTATTTAAAAATCTAACAATGTGATTTACTGGAATTGTTTTGTAGATTCTGTCTCTCACAGTTGAGGTGTACCTACGATGAAAATTACAGATCTGTCCATTCTCTGTAAGGGGGAAAACTTGAAAAATCGGCAGTGTATCAAATAATTATTTGCCCCACCGTACCTTTCATGGTTATTTTTGGTGAGCCTTTTTAATATATTGGTGGTGTGGGACATGTATAGTGTATTCTACCTGTATGTGTGTCTGTGTGTAACATTCATGTATCATCTGATCTATGTCCTCTTCCAGGATTACTCGGTTGCTGATTGAGCAGGACGGTCCAGAGTGGAGAGAGAAACTTCCTGAGATTCCAGCGGTGCCTTTGTCAGCTCAGCAGCACCACAGAGAGGAGCCACCCAGTGCAGAGGTTCTCCAAGCCCAAGCAGAGAAGACTGCCAGAGATGCAGGTCTGTGTCCGGAAAAATCATCAGTTCACAGAAACATGGGGTTGGACTTACTGCAGTGAACTGAGGCTACAAATCTTCTTTTTTGACAAGTCACATGCTGACAGTATTGTTAGGCTCCCATGTGAATCCTTTACCTTGATTTTAAAGAAACCTCTGCACTCGTATATAAAAGTGTCAGACAATCTAAAGCCTGTGTTTGTGGAATTATTATACTAATCATGAAAACGTGTACGCATGAATACATCTGTATTGTGTAATAATTTATCTAATCATACAGCATATAACAGTATAGGGCTCACGGGGGCTACTTTCTCTGCATATAATACAGAAGGATCATTTTTGAAGTACATTTTCCTTATAATTCTTACATACTTTTACTTAACATTATAAATGCAGAACTTTTACCTGTAATGTATTTTTACATTGTGGTATTGCTTCTGTTTTTCAGCTCATGGATCTCGATACTTTGTATGTATGAAGAATGAAGAATAGATTTGAGATTCTCTTTCTTCTAGTTTTTCTCTCACTTCCTCCGAGTTAGGGGGACAATGTTACAGACCACAAAATTATAAAAGTGGCAGGTCACTTCTGTTCACTGACCGTGGAGATTCGTATCTCTCAAGGTTTTGCTACAGTTGTTATATTTAAACTCCAATGAAAGAATAGAGCTCCTGGCCCAGTTTCCTCCCAGAGGACACTGCAGCGGATTGATCAGCCCTCAGTCCACACTATACTTCACCATCCAGCTGGCACAGCATTCATTTCTTAATCAACCAAGCAAGATGACCAGCACTTTTCTGTCCGTTAGGTTTTCTAAGAAATAAAATGGGAGTTAATTCAAATGTCTAGCATGTGTCAATGTGAACTTATGGCTTCAGCAGAAAGGAACTGGTCTTTATGTAAATAAACAGTAACAAGTAATCACTACTTTACTTTGTCTTCCAGAAAGGAAAGCAGAAGCCCATTTTACAGCTCTGAAGCAGGAAGGAAATGACTTTGTGAAGAAGGGCCAGTACCAAAATGCACTGGGAAAGTACACTGAATGCCTTAAGCTAAAGCCGGAAGAGTGCGCTATCTACACTAACAGGTTAGCGACTTTCGTCTCACCTCAGCATGAACAAACACAGACACCACTGTGGTGTCCTGCACTTTTTGTTTCCTTACCAAGCATTACTGCCAGACAACACCCAGAAAATCCAGTCATTACTGCATATAATGTTTTAAAAATGAAAGCAGACTGAGGGATTATCCCTAGCTGTCATCTGTCAGGTTCTCAGTCTGTCACTGGTGGTAAATTAGCAGACTTTGTTGGTAAGAGCAGAATGGACAAAGTTCAGGAAAAAACTGCTTGCTTCAGCTCTTTCTCTATCACAACCCCACTTACAGCCACTATCATTCTATCTATCTACATTGAAAGAGAAACACAACAAGTACAGTGCATGTAGGAGGCAGTGCACACTCCCTCCTACTTTTCCACAGTGGTAGAAACACTTGTTGATCATGTCGCAGAGGAAACTGATGCTGATGAAAAATGTCCTATTGTGTTCAGGTTTGCATGTGTATATTGAGCTTGGCTGCAGAGGGAGTTGTTCTGTATATACAGCCACACCCGAGCAAACAGTTGGCCCGTGAGACTGGAAATACTGACACTTTCATAAAGAAAGCACGAACAAAATCTCATTTCAGACATGCAAGTTTTGGTTCTTGTCTCACCTGTTTAATATGAAAATGATCATTCAGCTTTTCTAATGAATTCTGATTCACAGTCACAAAGTCATGATAGCCTTTAGTCGCACATCAGATAAGATCAGCTGCTGTTGACAAAAACAAAAATCACAAGCAATATATGTGTGTCTGCTTCCAGAGCCCTGTGCTACTTGAAACTGGAGAGGTTTTCTGAGGCCAAGCAGGACTGTGATGCAGCACTGAAACTAGAGCCAACCAATAAGAAGGCCTTCTACAGACGAGCCCTGGCCAATAAAGGCCTCAAGGTGAACAGAGCTGGCCATTAATGACTTAACACCACAATGTGTTCAA